GAGAGAGAGAGAGAGAGAGAGAGAGAGAGAGAGAGAGAGAATGTATGTTCGCACACGCACGCACACACACGCACACAAATACACACACACAAACACACACACACACACACACACACACACACATATACACACACACTGCGTGCGAGATTCCTATCCCCCGGTCAACATGAACATGAAATATAGTATATCAGTAAGTATAATAATGTAGGTCTTAACGAGAGAGCCATTCATTGTCAATTATTTATTCTAATACCAGGTGTTGTTCCCATCTTTTCTCTGGTCTTGTTGATTCGGAACATAGAAACAACAAGATCAGAGAAATGATGGGAACACCACCTGTCCTCCACTAAATTTGAAGGCAAACAATCAGATGCTTTGGACATCTCACACGAATGGCACCTCACCTGCTTGCCAGTAAAGTCTACTAAAGAAAAAGTATCTGGGTACAAGGCATTAAGAGGAAAACCAATTAAGAAAGACCTGGATCCAGGGTTTGAAGGATACCATGAGAACATACAATATCCCACCCAACCAGGCCATCAAACTTGCTAAGGGGGCTCTCGTGCCCAGGATGCCTCTCATTCAAAGGTCCCGGGTTCGAATCCGGGTAGCGACGGAAAAATGTTCTTCTCTACAATTGTCTCTTTTCACATTCTTTATTTCTCTTTTGCAATATTTTATCGTCTGCTTCCGTCTTCACTTTCTTCCACCCCCCCCCCCTCACCTCCTTTGCCGCCCTCCTCTGTGCTCCTAACTCTTTCTGCAGCCACTGCTACTTCTTAGCTCCTTCTTACTGCTGTCTGTCAGCCACACCCCTGGTCTATTGATAGGAAAGATCTGCACCCAGCCTTCTCGGACAGGGGCGAAAAATCTCGGAGGTCCCGTGTGCAAGTTGCGCACGTTAAAGATCTCTTGGTGGTCCAAAATCGCTGAGAGCAAGATTCTGCCGCCACTCGGGCAAAATTCAAAATGTCCTACCAATTGAAAATGTTTGGTGTATCCCGCGCGCTCATATGACCTTGTGCAGTTGCGAGCGCCGTACAACACTTACCAACAACAACAAAAACTTGTTAGAGACAGGGAGCTCTTTTCCCCTAGACGCCCTACAGGTAAACGAGGACAGATAAAGTAAAGTACGTAATACCAATTAGAAACTACTGACTTCAACATAAGTTAAGGACCACTTGCAAACACTCTGAGTGGTCTTCTTGGGTCGACCTGCATGTGGGCGTTCTGGACTGATCCAGTGGCTTGATGGCGCTGCCTCAAGAGGACAATGACAGAGTGTGACACTGTAAGCTTTCTGGCAATTTCTCGGGCTCCTACTCCATCCTGCAGCCATGCCGTTGTCCTGGAACGATCAGTCTCTCGGCTTTCGTCTTGGTGGCA